AAAATAAAGAAGAAAGATACATTAATGTATCTATTAAGTGGAAGTACTGTTTTACAAAACTTGTATATAAGTAGCTAATGGATCACAGTGTAAAATGTATTTCTTACTGTGGATTGTAGTGAAAATTTTTGAAAAAATCTGGGTTATAAGACCTTTTGAAGCTGCCACATGACATCATATTGGGTGTGCCATCAGTTGGCTCTCAGGGTTTTACCTCTTCTGATTCCTAAGACATTTTTATGGGTACCGCTGCTGCTATTGTGTGCTTCTCCTGTCTTTAATTTATTTCCACAGATGTGGCTTGGGGCCTAAGTATGAGACCCTGTTTACCCTTTTAGATTTTTTTCTCTCTGATCTGTTGACCTTTTGGCACCTGGTTCTGTCGCTCAACATAGCTTTATCCCTTTTATTTTCAACATCTACTTATTTATTAAGTGAGCCTTCTCTATCATTATTGATAAATATGTTGAACAGGATAGTTCTAAGAACAGAGCCCTGTGGCAGACCACTAAAGACCGTTCTCCCAGTTGATACACCTCTTGTACCCTTTGAGCATGGTCATTTAACCAGTGGTGAACCAGCCCTTCCAGCCTGTAGTTCTCTGTAGCTGACCTCAAAAGGGTCATGGCAGACCTTGTGAAACTTGAACGTCCACAGCAGAAGTTGCAAAGTCAAAGGCTTACAGGGGGTTGGCAGGTAACAGAAGTGAGTGAAGTGATAATTAATTCAAGCAATTAATAAGTAATTCCTGACCCCAGCCTTGGTTTCAAGAAGGCAGTGGGGAGTGGGGAAGCTGGGGGTGAGTTGGAGTAGTTGTATTCTATGTAAGCAGGAGCCACTGCTCAGTTACAGACAAACTTGCCCGTAGAAGCATGGGCCTTCAAGAAAATCCAGGTTTCGGCCGGGCGCGGTGGCTCAAGCCTGTAATCCCAGCACTTTGGGAGGCCGAGACGGGCGGATCACGAGGTCAGGAGATCGAGACCAACCTGGCTAACATGGTGAAACCCCGTCTCTACTAAGAAATACAAAAAACTAGCCGGGCGAGGTGGCGGGCGCCTGTAGTCCCAGCTACTCAGGAGGCTGAGGCAGGAGAATGGCATAAACCTGGGAGGCGGAGCTTGCAGTGAGCTGAGATCCGGCCACTGCACTCCGGCCTGGGCTACAGAGCGAGACTCCGTCTCAAAAAAAAAAAAAAAAAAAATCCAGGTTTCATGTGGAATTTGATTTTTGAATGTTAGCAAAACAAAAACATTAACACCGTATAGGCAAGTAAAACAAACCTGTGGCAGATTTGGCCCAAAGCTCTCGGCTTTGTGACCTGTCAGCCACAGTATCTCCCCATCTGCTCTCCAATGACCCCATGACTCAAAGCACTAAGATTGTTTCGATGTTGGTAGGTTAATGGCCTTCTGTGGAACCTGACTCCTGTGGTTCTTACCCGGGCTGTTCTTAAACGCAGCAGACTGAGAGTTGGAAGGACGCTTCTCCTTTTCTTGCCTGTTGGCGCCGTCTCCTGCTGGCAGGTTTCCTCCAGCATCACTGACAGGTGTTGAGAAAGGTATCAGTGGGATCTCTTGGTTGGGAAATAGGAATTTAGAGTTTCTTAAGATCTCCCTATCCATATGGCTTCACTTACCTCATATCTATGTCTGCTTTTCCTTTTCTCCTCCTTTTGGTCCAAGGAGCATTTTCCTTCCTAGGGAATTCAGAGGCACAAGAGCCATCCTAGCCCTTCCTTGTTCTTATTCACACACCAAAAATAACTTTTTAAATCCCTTTTAGTTGTCTTGACCATTTTGGGGAAGCCTCCACTCATGTAGCATTAGTCTTCCTGACACTGTTTTTGTAAATCTGTGCTACTCTCGGTTTGTTTCTTCTTGGTTATGCATGCTCCTTCTATCTTCCTACATAAGCATGTAAGATTTGACCACTTCAGATTGTATAGCCTTGTTAGCCACATTAGTTTAGGCTTCTAAGAAAGAAGAGTGTGCTGGGTGATCCGCCACATTCCTAGACTTCTGAAAGGTAGTCTTCCACTGGGGTCAGGGAAAAACTGATACACTCTGTGGCCAGTAGGGATGGCAGGCTTTTCATTTACCTGAGTGTTACTGCTCCAGCTGTGGGCAGGAAGCACAGGAGTCATGGAGATTTGGACCCTGCCTGGCAGGAGCCACCATCTAGTGGGGGAGGGAGGCAGCTGCTTGAACAAATAACAGTAGTGGCATGTGATAAGTGCTAATGAAGGTGCCCTGGGAACCCGGGGAAGGAGCCACAGATAATTCTGTGAAGTAGGTAGGGAAAGAGGTGACACTGAGCTGATGCTTGAAGGATAAGCCAGAGAGGCCACTCTAAGAGGCTGAGAAGGTCATTCCAGGCAATGAGAACTGCGTGTACAAAGCCTGGTGACGTCAGAGAACATGGCCTGTTAGAAAAGCATGAGGGTCTTTTGTGGCCAGAATGGAGGCAACGGTGAGGATGAGGCAGGAACTGCTGGCCGGAACCTCTGCTAATCTCCCACAGAGCTCATCCCAAACCCTAGTTTCCCACCACACTTAGGAGCCCGTGATGGCCTTGTCTGACAGTCTTAGGACTGGCATCATTTTAGCCACCTACTTAAAACACTTTGAGGCCAGACACAGTATCTCACACCTATAATCCCAACACTTTAGGAGGCTAAGGCCAGAGCATCATTTGAGGCCAGAAGTTAGAGATCAGCCTGGGCAACATAGCAAGACTCAAGCTCTTAAAAAAAAAAAAAAATTAGCTGAGCGTGGTACATGCATCAACTCTCAGCTACTTGATAGGCTGAGGTGGGAGGATCACCTGAGTCCAGGAGTTCAAGGCTACAGTGAACTATGATCACGCCACTGAACTCCAGCCTGGGTGAGAGTGTGTCTCTAAAATAAAAAAAACACTTTGTGTTATACTTGAGGGACTGATTTCTTATTTAGCTTTTTATTTTCACAGAATTTAAAAATTTATAGAAAAATAGCAGGGATCATACTTGGGACTCACATACCCCAAATGTGTAGGTTTTGCCTCATGTATTTATCATTTTGTTTATAGAGACATATTTTTCCATATGTATATCGTTTTTTTTCCCGAATCATTTGAGATTGAGTACACAGTGTTCCTCAACTTATGACTGAGTCATGTCCCAATAAACTAATCATAAATTGAAAGTATTGTAAGTCAAAAATGGGCATTTTATAGACATGATGGGATGCTAAAACACAGAACACAATATCCAGAAAACCCTGACAGCATGGAACATTGTGGAGCCTCAGTTGTTTACCTTGGTGATTGCGTGGTTGACCGGGGGCTCTGGGTTGCTGCCACTGCCCAGCATCGCTAAAGTATTGCTAGCCTCAGAAAAGATCAAAATTCAAAGTATGGTTTCTATTGAATGCCTGTTGCAAAGTCAGAATTTTAAGTGGAACCATCGTAAGTTGGGGACTGTCTGTACTGTCCCTTTACTCCTAAATACTTCAGTATGTGTATCCTGAGAACAAGGGCTTTCTGTTACATAACCCATCGTCTAATGATCCAAGTCAAGATTAGGAATGACAGAATATTATCTTATCCACGTCCATATTCACATTTCATGACTTGTCCCAAGTAAAACTAGTGTATTTTTCCCCAGTCTAAGGTCTAACCCATGAACATGCATTTAGCTGTTCTTTTTGAGGGAAGAGATTGTTTTTCTTGACTTTGAAACTTTTTGAAGAGAACAATCCAGGTGCTTTCTAGATCACCCTTCAATTTGGGTTTATCTGATGTGTCCTTGTGATTAGATTCAGGTTATACATTTTGGCAGGAGTTCTATGTGAGTGGTGTTAAGTCTTCCGCAGTGTCTTACATCAAGAGGCACATGGTGGTGTTTTGTCTCAGTATTGGTGATGATGGTAACTTTGGTCATTTGGATTAAGGTGGTGTCTGTCTACCAGATCTCTCCACTACAGTTACTATTGTAATTATGTAATTTTAGAGGAGATGCTTTGAGACTATGCATACATACATCCTGTACCTCACCATGCTTTCACCTGCTGCCACTGATGACTCTCTAAATCCATCAGTCCTTCTATGTTTTCTCTTAGCATTCTACAGTAAGGAAGAGCTTTCCTTTCCTAAGGGATGGGTCTGCAAACTCAATTTCACATCTTTGTATTCACTTTTCACTTGCTGGGCCAGGTCCTCCTGGCCCTCTTGCTCTCATCCTTCCCCCTTTGGTGTGCTTTTGGGGATATGAGGTATATAGTGCTGGTTCTTGTGCTCAGGGAGAGGCCTGAATCCTTCTCTAAGCAGCAACTTGCTTGTCTTTGGCAGGACTGACCGGGCATGGGGCTAAATGCATGCTGTGTCAGATCATCGGCGTTTCCCTCAGGCCTGGGGCTGTGTGTGGGAATGTGGTCTGTTGCCAGCTTTCTGTGCTCGGCCTGGGCTTAAGTGAGGACAGTTTTAGGGGGAGAAAAGAACTGTGGGTTCCCACTAGGAAGCCGTGGCTGACCCATGGTCCAGGCTGAATTTGTTAATCAAAGCTCCTCTTTCCCTACCCCTAGGAACCCACACTTCACGCTTAGAGCATGTGTGTACACACAGGCTTGGCTGGATTTCTTTCCATCTTGACAAAACAAAATAAAGTCCTAGTGTGATTTTGATCATTGTGAATTAAGGACTTTTTTGTGTGTCTCTGGCTTTAGGAGAGCCTCATTCGTGTGATTGATCTGAGGCTCCAAAAGTTTCTGAGCAACATTAAGAATGTCACATTACGATCTTCTCTTTAAAAATATCTTAAAGATCTTCTTTTTATTTCTGCTGGTGAAGCTCGCTAGGGAACCAAAGACTTGGGAAGATGAATTGGAGGCTCAAGAAGTACCAGAGAGAGGATTTGCAAGAAAAGTTGGGGGTCAGATGTGCACCTGAGTGGTATGAAGCAGGGAAATGCTTTTCAAATAGTGTGGTTCATTTTTTTCCTTTTTCCCCCTTCTCTCTCTCTTTAGACAGGCTCAGAGCTCAGCCCAGTTGATGGACCTGTTCCAGGTCAGATGGACTCAGGGCCAGTGTACCATGGGGACTCACGGCAGCTAAGCGCCTCAGGGGTGCCGGTCAATGGTGCTAGAGAGCCCGCTGGACCCAGTCTGCTGGGGACTGGGGGTCCTTGGCGGGTAGACCAAAAGCCCGACTGGGAGGCTGCCCCAGGCCCAGCTCATACTGCTCGCCTGGAAGATGCCCACGATCTGGTGGCCTTTTCGGCTGTGGCCGAAGCTGTGTCCTCTTATGGGGCCCTTAGCACCCGGCTCTATGAAACCTTCAACCGTGAGATGAGTCGTGAGGCTGGGAACAACAGCAGGGGATCCCGGCCAGGGCCCGAGGGCTGCTCTGCTGGCAGCGAAGACCTTGACACACTGCAGACGGCCCTGGCCCTCGCGCGGCATGGTATGAAACCACCCAACTGCAACTGCGATGGCCCAGAATGCCCTGACTACCTCGAGTGGCTGGAGGGGAAGATCAAGTCTGTGGTCATGGAAGGAGGGGAGGAGCGGCCCAGGCTCCCAGGGCCTCTGCCTCCTGGTGAGGCCGGTCTCCCAGCACCAAGCACCAGGCCACTCCTCAGCTCAGAGGTGCCCCAGATCTCTCCCCAAGAGGGCCTGCCCCTGTCCCAGAGTGCCCTGAGCATCGCCAAGGAAAAAAACATCAGCTTGCAGACCGCCATTGCCATCGAGGCCCTCACACAGCTCTCCTCCGCCCTCCCGCAGCCTTCTCATTCTACCCCCCAGGCTTCTTGCCCCCTTCCTGAGGCCTTGTCACCTCCTGCCCCTTTCAGATCTCCCCAGTCTTACCTCCGGGCTCCCTCATGGCCTGTGGTTCCTCCTGAAGAGCACTCATCTTTTGCTCCTGATAGCTCTGCCTTCCCTCCAGCAACTCCTCGAACTGAGTTCCCTGAAGTCTGGGGCACCGACACCCCTCCAGCAACACCCCGGAGCTCCTGGCCCATGCCTCGCCCAAGCCACGACCCCATGGCTGAACTGGAGCAGTTGTTGGGCAGCGCCAGTGATTACATCCAGTCAGTATTCAAGCGGCCTGAGGCCCTGCCTACCAAGCCCAAGGTCAAGGTAGAGGCACCCTCTTCCTCCCCAGCCCTGGCCCCATCCCCTGTGCTTCAGAGGGAGGCTCCCACGCCATCCTCGGAGCCCGACACCCACCAGAAGGCCCAGACCGCCCTGCAGCAGCACCTCCATCACAAGCGCAGCCTGTTCCTAGAACAGGCTCACGACACCTCCTTCCCTGCTCCTTCGGAGCCTTCTGCTCCTGGCTGGTGGCCCCCACCAAGCTCACCTGCCCCACGGCTTCCAGACAGACCACCCAAGGAGAAGAAGAAGAAGCTCCCAACACCAGCTGGAGGTCCCATGGGAACAGAGAAAGCTACCCCTGGGATCAAGCCCAGTGTCCGAAAGCCCATTCAGATCAAGAAGTCCAGGCCCCGGGAAGCACAGCCACTCTTCCCGCCTGTCCGGCAGATTGTCCTGGAAGGGCTGAGGTCCCCGGCCTCCCAGGAAGTACAGGCTCATCCACCGGCCCCTCTACCTGCCTCACAGGGCTCTGCTGTGCCCCTGCCCCCAGAACCTTCTCTTGCGCTATTTGCACCTAGTCCCTCCAGGGACAGCCTGCTGCCCCCTACTCAGGAAATGAGGTCCCCCAGCCCCATGACAACCTTGCAGCCAGGCTCCACCGGCCCTCTTCCCCCTGCCGATGACAAGCTGGAAGAGCTCATCCGGCAGTTTGAGGCTGAATTTGGAGATAGCTTTGGGCTTCCCGGCCCCCCTTCTGTGCCCATTCAGGACCCCGAGAACCAGCAAACATGTCTCCCAGCCCCTGAGAGCCCCTTTGCTACCCGTTCCCCCAAGCAAATCAAGATTGAGTCTTCAGGGGCTGTGACTGTGCTCTCAACAACCTGCTTCCATTCAGAGGAGGGAGGCCAGGAGGCCACACCCACCAAGGCAGAGAACCCACTCACACCCACCCTCAGTGGCTTCTTGGAGTCACCTCTTAAGTACCTGGACACACCCACCAAGAGTCTGCTGGACACACCTGCCAAGAGAGCCCAGGCCGAGTTCCCCACCTGCGATTGCGTCGGTAAGTCCGCCTGGGTGTCAGGAAAAGGCAGAGAAACGGCTGTGGCCTGGTAAGCTAGGGATTTCTAGGCTCTGCTTTCATTTGGCAAACATTTATTGTTTGCCAACTGCGACACTGGGTTCTGGGAACATAGAAATGAGCTCGTAGCCTAGTGGAAAAGACATTGAAAGAAATTGACCTGATACTGTTGGTGTATGCCACGTCGGTTGAGATGGGCAAGGGGCTTTAATACACAAATGGAGTTGAAGGCATAATAGAGGCCTTCCTGTAGGAGGTAGTACTTGTGCCAAGCCCTACAGAGCCATCAGGTAGAAAGGACACATTCTAGGAAGAGGGAGTAGCTTGGGCAACAGCTTAGTGGCTGTGAGGGAGTGGAACTTACTTGGACTATACTTGGTTCAGGCAGGAGCAAAAGGGTTTGGGTATATGTGGTGATGAACAAAAGGTGGCTTGGTGGGTGGGGAGGATGGTCAGGGTCCAGATTGTGCAGGGCCCAGGGAGCCACGGCCAAGAGTTTGACTTGACCCCACAGGTAATAGTGAGCTCCTGAGGATTTTAAAGCAAGGAATGCCCTGTCACCTCATGCTTTTGAAAGACTTCTGGCTTATGGTGGGTAGGGAAGCTTGAGGGCACTGAGGAGGCATAGCTGTAGGAAAGGTGTTGTCATGAGCCAGGCAAGAAGTGACAAGGGCCTGGCCTGAAAGAGCCGCTGGCAGAGGGAGGGGTTGGAAGGTCTCCAGAGGAAGGCTTGTGGGAGGAGGGAATGAGATACTGCAGGTCTCTGCCTGGGGTGGTGGTGTTCACTGAGAACTCAGACTGGGAGGACGGGAAGTGAGTTCCCATTGGACGAACCACATCTGAAGTGGCCAGGAGACCAGGTCAGGGTCTGAGTTACACGTTTGGACGTAGTTAGCCTGCAAGTCATGGTTGAAGCTGTGCCTGCATAAGAACGCGTTGAGGAGTTGAGTCCACTTCTAAGCCTTGTCTTCTGGAATCAGAGCAGGGTGCAGTGCCTCTGAGGACCACTCCCCTCTAAGCATACTGTCTCTGGGAAGTCCTAGACGCAGGGGTAGGCTCCAGGTCCACTCGGCCCCCATGCTCTGTTTATGGAGTGTTCTGTAAAAGCTGTGTGCGTTTCAGATGTTGACAGAAAACACGGTGATGCTGGCGATGAGCATATTGAATTCTTGAGATTTTATGATACACAGACGGGTCTTGGGGAAAAGGCTGTCTTCCCTACTTGTGAAAAATACGTAAATATCAAATAAGTCATGGACTTGCTGGGATGTTGTCTCCTGGTCAGTGAGGAGAGCTGGGCTGTTCCGCCTGCTCCAGCTATCCCTCTCCAACTCCTGGGGTATGAGGCAGAGGGGTGGGTGACAAGGAGCCATGTGCAGAACAAGGAAAAGCTGGCGCCAGGGCTCTTATCTGGGGGTGTACAGGTATGCTGCCAGGCACTCACAGACATGCTCCAAGATGGTGGTTCCCACTGGCCCTGTCCATTCTTAGATATGACTAATAATGACATGACTGGGCCCAGCGCGGTGGCTCATGCCTGTAATCCCAGCACTTTGGGAGGCCGAGGCAAGTGGATCACGAGGTCAGGAGATCGAGACCATCCTGGCTAGCACGGTGAAACCCGGTCTCTACTAAAAATACAAAAAATTAGCCAGGTGGGTAGTGGGCACCTGTAGTCCCAGCTACTTGGGAGGCTGAGATGGGAGAATGGTGTGAACCCAGGAGGCGGAGCTTGCAGTGAGCCGAGATTGTGCCACTGCACTCCAGCCTGGGAGGCAGAGTGAGACTCTGTCTCAAAAAAAAAAAAATAATAATAATGACATGACTTCAAGGGCCCTCTTATTTACCAGCATATGGGGGAAACTTGTTTTGATCATGGGGTCCGCCTACCCTTTTCTCCATGCGTGTATGTGTGTGTCCCATCCGCCTGTGTTTAGCACCTCATTTCTCCTTCTGCAACGTGGGAAATATCCTTACCTAGTGTTTTAAGACATAGTTGATCCTTAGTCAAGATTTTAATTGTTGAATTTAATTACATGGATATTATGTGTGGTCAAACTAGTTTTTAAATTTGCATCCCAACTCCACTTACTGGCTGGGAGTGCTTGGGCACTTTACATAACCCATCACAGTTTCTGCTTCCTCATATGTAGAATGAAAACGATAATAGTACGTGCCTCACCGGGACTGTTGTGAGGATTAAATTCATTACTATGTGTTTAGTAATGAGTTTAACACTTAGTGTTGTGTTGGCACAAGAGTGTCAGCTGTTATCAAGCCTATCAAGTCCAGTAGGGCAAGAAAAGTAAAACCATACCTTTGTAAAGGAAAAAAAAGTTGACTGTTCCTTTATTTATCATATATTAATTACCTAGCCATGTATAACTGCCAATAAGCATAAAATTAAGAGAAATGGTTCATCACTAAAGGACTTTATGGTTTACTTTTTTTTTTTTTTTTTAGGCAGGGTCTCACTCTGTTGCTGGGGCTGGAATGCAGTGGCATGATCTCTGCTCACTGCAGCCTCCACTTCCTGGGCTCAAGCAATCCTCCCACCTCAGTCTCCCGAGTAGCTGGAATTACAGGTGCATGCCACCATACTTGGCTAATTTTTAAAAATTTTTTGTAGAGACGAGGTCTCACTGTATTGCCCAGGCTTGTCTCAAACTTCTGGGCTCAAGCAGTCCTGTCATCTCAGCCTCCCAAAGTGCTGGGATTATAGTTGTGAACCACTGCGTCTAGCCTATGGTTTACTTAAGGAAAAAAAAAAAAAATAGACAATAAAATATTTAGACACCCACTCAACCAGTGTGTGCCAAGTGCCTTTTGCCTCTGAGGCCCATGCTGCTGTATGGAAGTGGCTGCATCGCAGGAGTACCCTGTAGCACAGACTTGGTTGTCATCATGGGAGGTCATGTTTTATCTAGGAAACTCTTGTTTAGAGCTGGGTTTTGAAAACTGTCGTGAACACAGATGGGGAGAGGCAGAAAGGCTTTCCAGACTGAGGAGTGCATAAGCACAGTCTTGGCATAAGGAGCAGGCTTGCAGGATGGGATGTTGCAAGGGTGACCTGAAATCTCTGTTCTCCTGCATTCCTCAGATGAGGAGCCCCCACCAGAGAGGATACATCTTCGCTTGTAGGCAGTGAGCAAAAGTGCAGGCATCTGTCAGCATCAGAGAAACCAGACCTCCAGAAACTGGGAGCTAACAACACTTTGTATTGTTAAATTAGAGGAAAGTACTTACGTGAAACAAATTTGAACGATCATCTCAGTTAAGTTTTAAAAAATGGAAAAAAGACTAGAAGGAAATATATCAACAGTGGATTGTCTCTATGATTGGGATATGGATGACCTTTCCCTCATGTGTTTTCTGAATTTTCTACAATGAAATTTGTATTTTATAACCCAGAAATATTTGTGAAAGTGCACACTCGCAATAGCATGGAAGGTGGATTGGTGGAGGGTGATAACCCTGTGGTAGGAGACCCATTAGGAAGCTGTTGAGAGTAAAAGTGTTTATGAAGCACCTGCTCAGGTCTAGGCACCCTGCCAAGTACTTTATAGTCACCACCTCACTTAATCCTCATAGCAGCTCTATGAGGTAAGTACTATCAGTGACTCCATTTTAGCCGTGAGGAAACAGATTAAGTAATTTACCAAGGTCATACAAACTAGTGAAAGTGAGATTTGAACCTAGGCAGTTGGACTCTTAACCACCATGTCATATTGTGTTTGAAATTAGTCAGCTGGGAAACAGGTCCTCACTAAAACAATGGTAGTAGAATGAAGAGAGGCAACGAAGAGATTTGCTCTGAAAATTTCTGGAGGGCCTGAGGTTCGTGTTAGGAGAACCCATTCTGTTTTCCAGAATTGTCTGGCCACATGCTTCTCACTCTGTTGCCCATGCTGGAGTGCAGTGGCATGATCTTGGCTCACTGCAACCTCTGCCTCCTGGGTTCAAGCAGTTCTCATGCCTCGACCTCCTGAGTAACTGGGATTACAGGCACCCACCACCCTGCCTGGGTAACTTCTCATATTTTAGTAGAGACAGGGTTTCATGGTGTTGCCCAGGCTAGTCTCAAACTCCTGAGCTCAGGTAGTTCACCTGTCTCAGCCTCCCAAAGTGCTAGGATTATAGGTGTAAGCCGCCATGCCTGAACAGGTACTTCTTCAGTTGGTGTGGTAGAATTTGTCTTTGTGAATCCAGGCTCAGAACAAGGCTTAGAAATCAAGGTGCTCACTCTGGGGTGACAGTGGGACAATCCCATACTCCAGAAATTCATACCCTCACCGGTGGTAGGTAGTTACAGGAAGAATTTTCCATAGAAGTGGGGGTGAAATATAGAGACTCCATGAAGCCACCTAATAGCTGATAACAGAATATGGGAACAACTTTATAAAAGCATACAAGTTCCTATAGCCAAAAAAAAAAGGGGGGGATGGTAGGAGGTAGGGGAGGGGCCCAGGCACTGTGGCTCATGCCTGTAATCCCAGCACTTTGGGAGGCTGAGGTGGGTGGATCATGAGGTCAGGAATTCGAGACCACCTGGCCAGTATGGTGAAAATCTCTACTAAAACTACAGAAATTAGCCGGGCGTGGTGGTGGGCACCTGTAATTCCAGTTACTCTGGAGGCTGAGGCAGAAGAATCACTTGAACCTGGGAGGCTGAGGTTGCAGTGAGCTGAGATCGTGCTACTGCACTCCAGCCTGGGTGACAGGGCAAGACCCCATCTCAAAAAACAAAACAAAACAAAACCTCTATTATTCAAGGTTATTTGGTAATTTTGCCAAATAAACAATTTAGCGAATATGGGCATCACCACGTAACCAAAGTCCCCAATCCCCTTATATAAAAATGGTGGGTTTCTGAAGGTCTGGATGGGACTCATGCGGATTTTTTTTATCTGAATCTTGAAGTATTAAAGGTACCCCTTTAAAGCTTCAAAGAAGTAAACTTATAAGCCATGAAAGGAAATGCC